TGTAGTTTTGCGGAAAATGGTTAGGATAAACACAGAACATTAGGTTCAAGCTCTTTATTCATGCATAACATTTACATCAAGTTGCAATAACCCAAAACAAATCACGTGTAAGAGAGAATATTAATTGTAACACAGGTATATGGATATGGTAGCTTTCACAACAATGTAATTATCAGGATGTTTCAACAATAAAGGCACTCTCACATTTCTACAGCCTACGTGTACTTATAGGAAGTAAGGGATTAGTACATAACATTGCGTTATTATGCTAAAACATTTAACACGAGAACTATGACATTGAGATGAATATATTCTAATAGCTTAGAATTCTTAATGTTCTCCGATAAACATTTTGATCACTAATAAGTAAATAATAACAAGTAGCAATTGAAAAATTCTTAACATGAATATAAGGTTATTTCTAATTCATAGAATATGTCACAGAGTATGACATTAAAACATGCGCTAATGTACTGAACATTAACATGTAGCAATACCAGAAACAGGTGTTTTAATTATTTCTCTATCGAGAAAGAAATCCCATTTGATGAGGAAGATTTTGTGTGAAATACTGGTTGATTAGATTAATTAACCACGTAGTTGGGATATTCTTACCAAAATACACTAGTATGTGGTATCCAAATATACAATTTAATAGTTTTATTTTTGTCATAATGTTTTATAGGTTGCATAATTATCCACAGCTAAATCTAACCACTGAGCACGAAAAGTCGACATTTTTTTAAAGTATGAATAACTTATACATTTTCATTCAGATAATCAGGTCAGAAGATCTAAACATACACTTTTTTCGATAGACCTACACAATTTCTTGATCGTCAGATGACAGTTATGTATAAATTAAAAGTATGTTCCTTCTAACTTTGAAAAGAAAACAAAAGACTTGGAATTGACATACATAGTAAATATTTGTATTTGATATTTTGAGCCTGTACAAAATCTTCTTTTATGACTTCCTTTAGAAATCTTCACTAGCTGAGAGACGATGAAGATTTTTGGAACTTAAATCATGGAAACATATTTTCTCTTTTAATTGGCCGGTAATGAGTTTTGTAAATGATATATAACCTCCGAAAATACAGTAAGATTAGGCTAAGCGTTCCGTTTCATCATTTGCTTGTGTCCGTATTTTTGTTTGGTCACAATGTTTTTGTTGTTTTTGAATAACTTCTAATAAAATAAAACAAGCGCTAGTCTTCTCCAAATAGTTGAACTCTTGATTGGCCTTGATCTAGATTCAAAGTCACAGTGACTTTTTTCTGTGAATTGCAGTGAATAACAGGGTTAGATTTATTTGTTTCTAATCACTATTTATCCAAAACAAAACGTCCTAGATTTCATTCCATACGAATGAGACATCTCTTCTCAATAATTCAATTTATATTTCAAGTATAAATAAGGTTATAAAACATTAAATGTACAATGAGACAAAACTTAAATATAAAAGAACAATAAAATGAACAGCTCAGAAACTCAGAATGTCCATTGCGCTTAACATTTTAATGAAACTAACCTATCCTTTGTATATTTAAGAGGAGGGTAGTCATAACTACGACATATTTCTTCCCCAACATTATTTCACAAACATCTAGGTTCAGGTTTTTTTTTAAATGAAGCATGTGGCATTAATTAGTGTTAAAAATAAATCGTTGTAAACAAGCTCAGCAACATGAAAAATAGTTGTTAGATTACAGAGTATGCATGTATAAAATAAATATATCAACTTACAACTATAAATGAACCAAGTATCAGCTTTGAGCAAGTTTGTACGGTGAGTTAATAAATAACCAATTACACTAATCCAATATCGACCCACAAGTAACTTACAGAATTCTATCTAAGTATAATTCAAAACTACATATATACCTGGATGAATCAGATATAAAAGAAAGACGGAGGTATGCTCTGTACATCAAACAGAGTTTTCTGGCTTTAATGTTTCCTCAATAACAAATGTTTAATCTAGCGAAGAAAAATTAATTTGAATTGCCTTTAACTTTAGTCAATCTTCATTTTAATTACTAGTAATTTATAAAATAAAGGTAGGTTTCGTGTATATTAATAATTTTACCCGAATCGCTCAGCAATAAGCTAGAAGGCTTATTTATACCTCTAAATTTATGGATTCAATCCCTGCGGTTGGTAAAGCATAGATATTAGACTGTACAGCTTTATATTTAATAAGAAACACAAAATTAATAGTTTTCATTATGTAGTTTATCAAATTTTACTTAATTTTTTTTCAGAAGTGGATCTCATTAAAAAGAACAAAACGAAAACTCTGGAGCTAAAAAAAAAATAACTATTTGAACATTCCTTAAATAAAATTAATCTATAAATCATAGGGCAGATTCAAAATCGGCTATGAATCAAAGATAAGGCTACACACTTCTCAAAGCACTTAAGGTCTGTTCAGTCCGAACCACACACTGTGATTAATATCTGTTGTAAAATTCTAGAAAAACGTTACCAGGAACAAAAAGTATAATACTTAAATTTAATTCTGTTGAAATAGATAGGACAAATGAGACAATTACCTCAGGCCTCAGATGTATAGAAAGTGGAGGTGGGTGGGGTGGAAAGACACTCTGATAGTGATTTAAATTTTAGTTATGAAAAGAAAGAAATAATAATAATAAATAAAAAATGAGATTTTACAATGGTAAAACATACTAATTAAATATAACTGGATTTCTTACCTTCACATTCAATATTTACTGAACAAGATACTAACTCCTCTTCTGAAACCTTTCTCAGATTAACTGGTAAAACTTAAGTTTTACAATTCCTCAGTGAACGCAGTAAATAATATTTTACATAAATGCATAAAAGGATACAATGTGTATAATATTACATATATATATATATAATGTCAGTAACTTACTATAAGTGTACGATAAATAATATAATAGGCTACATTTATATTCCTTCCATTATCAATTGAATATTCTTACAACTAAGCATTTCATATTTCATAAAAAAATATAAAAATCGTCGTGCAGAAGTGGTAAATGAGCTTATGACCTCTTTTTATCAGACTCACTTCTCTTTTTCTGAAAACAAACGAATGTTGGGCCAATAAATGTTTTTTTAAAGAATGAAAATTTATAAGCACTTCATTTGTTGCTAATGAAGGAAATATCTATCTACAAAAACGTTAAACTTTGATAGTTTCATTTCAACTCTTTTTTTTGCACAGTCTTGTAAGTATCAACGTGTAATGTAATTTGAAAATAGTAACATTTCTAATGTGATACTTGAATTTTTAGATCCTAATTATCTCTCAGGGATTAAATATAGTGATACTATTGGCTGTTTATTCTCTTCACCATAGCCTGAAGATAATTATATAAATGTGAAGTAACGTTATAATTGAAGTATGTTTCTCAAATACTTCAACAAACTGCATTTACTTGTTATTGAAGAATAACTGTCATTCCACCGAAAAATAGTTTATTTAGGCTAAGATAAGTAATCACATATATATACATTTTCTCGTGTTGTTCTGTCATTACTGTTTTTGTACTTACATTTTTCAATTTGTTACATATTTTGGTTTTTGAATTGTACATTTTTTCTAAATCCTGTTATATTCTATACTTCAACTCATGTGCTAGGGTAACCGAAACTCAATAGATTATTCTGGAGTCTGCAAAAATAAAGAACAGTAGCTTTTACACCAAAGAAAAAATAAAATTTCCATCACGAAAAGCCTCTAGTGACTCAGCGGGAAGTCTGAAGGCTTCTAACACTTTCGATACAGCAGGAATAGCCAATTGTGTTTCTTTGCGATTAACATCAAAACAAGCAAACAAACCGTCTAGAAATTAAAACTTAAATTATTAGAAAATAGGCAAAATATCAAATACCGTAGCTAAAACTTATAATTCAATAAAGTTCATTTCTTTCACTCTAAACATGCTTGTCTTTAGGAAAACTGTGGATTTGTTTGTTTTGTTTTTGAATTTCGCGCAAAGCTACACGAGAGCTATCTGCGATAGCCATCCCTAATTTTGCAGCGTAAGACTAGAGGGAAGGCAGTTAGTCATCACCACCCACTGCCAACTCTTGGGTTACTCTTTTACCAACGAATAGTGGGATTGACCGTCACATTATAACGCCCCCACGGCTGAAAGGGCGAGCATGTTTGGTGTGACAGGGATTCGAACCCGCGACCCTCAGATTGCGAGTCGAGTGCCCTAACCACCTGGCCATGCCGGGCCCAGAAAAACTGTGGAAGATTGTAGTTGGAATATTTTGTGTTACGTAATGTTCCTTCTCACCATCTCTAAGCTTTTCTAAAGCAGTGCAAACATTTATAAACCATACTAGTTACTGTGTCATTAATAATAAAATGTGATAAATAATGATCAAGTAAAGAAGATGATAAATAACATGTACAGGGGAGTTGAAATGCTGTTATACACTCTTGTATTAGGCCAAAAAAGAGTGAAAAGGTTGAAATTATTATCTGTCTTAATTTTCTTCTAAAAGGCATAATTCTTCCGCGTATTAGAGGTGTACATAGCATAATATTTGATGTATCTTAAATAACTGATATGAAAAGCATAAAGCTACACAATGAGCTATCTGTGTTCTGTCGACCACGGATATCGAAATCCGGTTCCTAGTGTTGCAAGTCCGCAGACATATCGCTATGTCACTGGTGGGGAGGGGGGAGAAGACGCAATTGGGCGCTGCTATTCAGACAGTTTAAAAATGAATCAAAGGATTCGCCAGCAGGGTGAGCGACAAAGAATGACATGATTAAAATCATTATCGAAGTTATTGTGATACTTATCCTACTTATTATCCTAAAATACAAAACCCTATAACCCGAAAGCTTTTGAAAGGTGAACCATTCTTTATCAGGGGCAAAGTTATTATCTTGAAATGCATGTTTCGCCAGTTTAGGGGGTAGTGACACAAAATAGAAATGTTTCTGTATTATCAAATGTCCTCCTACTCTTCTACTATCTTGTTTTTTGTTGTTGTTGTTGTTTTGTGATAATTTATCGTTCGTAAGTAGCTTACAATCTGAAAAGTGCCATAGTTATTTTCCAATTTTGCTATTTGTTTAACCTTTTGCCCTTTGATGCTTATATTGGGTTCTTGGTTGTACATATTTGTTAAATCCTCAACTCATTGTTCTTTAATTAGAGATGTTTGGATATTAGGTAAGTTACGTCGAATATAAACGGTCAAAGACGTTGAATCGTCTCTGTAATAATATTCATACCACAAATTATCTCCAGGACATTGCATAATAATGTCCTACCTCAACTTATAATAGTATATTTGTAATAATATCCATTCCACAAATTATCTCCAGGACATTGCATAATAATGTCCTACCTCAACTTATAATAGTATATTTGTAATAATATCCATTCCTCAAATTATCTCCAGGACATTGCATAATAATGTCCTACCTCAACTTATAATAGTATATTTGTAATAATATCCATTCCTCAAAGTATCTCCAGGACATTGCATAATAATGTCCTACCTCAACTTATAAAATCGAATTGTAATGAGAATAATATAATTAAATGTAACAATTACTATATAAGCAACTTACAGAAATGCTGTAGCGTCATCAAAGAATTTAACAATATTTAAGATAAATTCTGGCATTTGACCATTTCATTTGTGCTTCTAGGCCTATAATGTCAGCAAAACTAACGTTTTGTAAAATAAGTTTGTAGTTTTTTCTTTTTTAGATGAGCCATTATATGAAATATTGTGTGTTTTCAAGGCCCTTACAAAGAATATTAGTACTTATTTTTTTCTCTTGTTAAATGAATTATAATTATTGGATATAAACCGTTAAGTTTTATGTATTCCAGTGAATTTCGAATAGTCAACGATTTTACGCTCAAACAAACTTCTAAAACTAATCGTCTCCACACGTATACATATTACAGAAGCTGCAGCTGCTCCACTCTACAGGATGCGGTTCTGCTCACCGTGGTCGTTAGTATACTTGGGTTGTAACGAACAGATCCAGAAGCACTGATGTATGGACCCCGAAGTCGTTGATCTCTCTGACCACAAGACAGCATTCGTGCAAAAGCTCGCCGGAACTTGACAGACATAGCATTATACAGGATTGGATTGATAGCACTATTAATGAAGATCATGGTCTTACAGAACATCAAGAACCACGGTTCCATATAACGCTGTTTGGCGAAGGAGTTGTACACCACCAGGACTCTATATGGCACCCACAAAGTCGCAAAGACAGCAACTACTACAGCTAGCATTTTAACAACCTGTTGGAGAAATAAGAATTTTTTTCCTATTATAATCAAAAACTTTATACATGTGTATTATCGTATTATCTCCTTAAATATTTAATTTTTACAAAACCTTATCCATGTGTATTATCGTATTAACTCCTTAAATATTTTATTTTTACAAAACTTTATCTATGTGTATTATCGTATTAACTCCTTAAATATTTATCTTTTACAAAACGTTAGGTTTTGAACGACGACATCAAAGTTTGTATAGCAAAAAAAAAACAACAATTTATTTTTCTCTAATATTTTGAATGCTGTAAATTTTTCCACCTGTAAAATTACCTGTCAATATCTTCCACTACCGTAAAGATAAATTAGTATGAGTGTCTTATTGAGTGACCTTTCTCAATATAATAGAGAAAGAGTCTTCAACTCAATTACATTAGACATTAATAAAGACCTAGATAATGAAATAATCAAGTACATACATGTATAAACTACTAATCAAAGTTTCAGGTATAACGAAACATGGAACCTTTCTTTTTTAGTTACATTACACATTGATAAATACTTAGATAATGAAATCATCGTACGTACATGTATAAACTACTCATCAAAGTTTCACTTTAAGATGGTTAGGTATAACAAAACATGAAACCTTTCTTTTTTCTTTTCTTCATTACACCGGTTTCGTAGAATCGCAGGCTACTTTTCAATATTACATTTATGAAAAACAGAAAAGAACTATGTTTTTTTTTAACATAATATGTTACCTTAAAGAAAAATTGTCTAACAAATTATCTTAATGAAGTTTTGCTTAGTATATGTGACTTATAAGCTGCTACTATTTCAAAGTATTATTAGATATTGTCATTGTTTTTCATAGATTCTGTGATACTTATGTGTTCAAAATATGTTTGTGAAAACTTGCTCTTTTTCTTATAAATCGAAAGTTGACGTATATAAAATTTTTACAGCATTGTTTGACGGTTATGCGAACTTTCTATTTTCACAATCATCTCGACTTAAGATACCATTTTTTGTCGTCGATACCTCTTTTTAGATGGTAAAAGTAATACGAATTAATAAAGCGAAATAAGATAATTTCAAGGTTAGGCACCACTCATGGTCCCGTTTGTTCACCTGAATTCAATGGGACACGAGGACACCTGTGGTTCAACATAGTCTTCCCTAATTTTGAACTGCTAATCAGAAGGAATGCACCAGCCGGAAACTCCCGCCAGCTGATTTGCTTGTTTGTAATTAAACACAAAGCTACACAACGGGCTATCTGTGCTCTGCCCACCACGGGTATCGAAACCCGGATTCTAGCGTTGTAAGTCCGCAGACATACCGCTGTGCCACTTGGGGGCCCCGCCGGCTGAAGCGACTTCTCTTATTTAACAGAATAGTGAGAATAAAGTCACTCTTGTAATGCATTCAAAGCTGAATATATGCAACGTGTTTGTTAACAATTACCACTTAAACCAGGGACTGTCGGATTCACTAGGCCACGCTCGAGTCTGCTCATAAAGCTAATTAGGCTAGAAGTACTTTTATATTTTGAGTATTTTCATCGAAACAAACTGTTTATATATATAATTTAATCATCATAATAAAGTAAATCTTAATACTGATTATGGATATATATATATATATATATATATATATATAGTATAGAGTAGGTACCGACGAGTAGTACATATAACTAATAATACTAATACGTTAGGTTAGTTAGTTAGGTTAACGTAAACGTAACTAGTAGTA